GGGGGGGGGGGGGGGGGGGGGGGGGGGGAGGAAAGGAGAAAGAGAGAGTAGTGAGACTTTCGATGTAGTGACGGGGAGGGGGCATGAAGAAGAAGCGAACTTGGCTCCGCTTATATGTGAATGTAATTACTTGGCAATGAATTTCATGTATTTCACAGTTTTGAATATCTGTTTCAGTCAGAATACTACTATTCCTTGGGAGCGAAACCGAAGCCAATCGATTGGCGTTGGGTTTGCCGTGATTTATTAGTTGATGCAGGCCGGGCGCTTACATCGTCATTGTCAAGCAAAAAAGAAACGATCCTGCTGCATCCTGGTACATTCTTTTCGATTTCGTTTCTGTTGTTTAAGACTGAATTAGAAATTTTGCTTGAATATGAAACTTCGGTACTATGACTCAACAGCGGTATAAAACATCATTTGAAGTGCTGTTTTACTGCAGAAAGTGTTTTAGATCTGGTCTTCTATCAAATTAGGGATGTATTTGTGGGTGGTAATGCAAGTCCTGATATTGCTGATCTTACTCTGGCATTATTGGAGTTTAAATAATAATGAATTAATAAAAATGTCTCCAGTTTGTGAGGGGATTTCATTAAAATTCTCTAACGCGGGATCCCCCAACCAGCTGTCTGACTGCCTCCTAATCAGTTCTCGTAGAATTGCCTTTTTTAAAACTTTTCGCGCCTGTTGCCAGGAATAATCTGATTTCTAAATCCCGTTAGTTTCCTTTATATTGTTGGAGGTTTTCAGTAGCATGAAACGCGCATCTGTTGCAATTACGATGATATTTTTAGCATTTTTTCTTTGATTTAAAGGCGACGTGTCGTTGAATTCGATTTCTTTCCGCGGTCGTTCGGTTATTCGAGACATGAAGCAACGTTCCTCAGCGCATCTTGAGCATTTTCTGATAGCAGCTGAATGGCTAGCAGTCAATCAGGATCAGCAAGGTGGATGGCCAGTCCCAGTTGAGCGGTAAATTTTGGATGATTTTATGAATTTTACATATAGCTTCCTGGTGCGGCTAACGGCGTATCCTCATCCAGATTCTGATAGCCTTCTAAAATTGTTTGCTACTTGGGGAAGTATTGCGCTTAAAACTGTTGCTTCATAGCTTGAAAAATCAAGCTTTTGCCAAGCATTTTCTGCTAACGAAATTAAAATTTAGAACAAAGGGTATCTGGAATACATTGAAGGGCACTTGTTAATTCATAGTCCAGTTCTCAGCTAGTCAGCTATCAACTTTTCCGTTGCCCACGGTTTTGTGCTTCCCGCATTCACACTACCCCAAGCTGGTGAAAAAATCCAGCGGACCATTGACCTTCCTGCTGTTTTTTTAATATATAAATGATACTTCACATAATGAAACAAGATATAAAAGAGCCATAACAAAACGAAGAATTTGAAAAAGTGTATGAAGTAGCAGTAAATATAGCCTGTACTGCATTTATTTAAGTCAAATAGAAGGGTATTTTGAAGTAGGACGAAGAACAGGAAGAAGAAATTCATTTGAAAATTTTATATTTTTTATAAATTTGATTCTACCCCGCCAATGCAGCAGTCAATCCCTCTACGATTCATTCATTAGTTTCAATAGTAAATTGGTGTTACCGTATGCCAGGGAGCTCCTAATAACCCTTGAAAGAGGAAGCCATCGGCAGCCTTGCCAACCGGTAGTTACTGTTGCCATCTACTGCTTTCTGAATATTGTCAAGTACCATCGCCTCTTATGACGGATGGGTAAGGAGGAGATTTAGCCTGTGCAGAATTCGGTAAGATTTTTTTTTTGCCTAAACCAGTAGTATTTGACAAGTTCCATTTTTTTTATTTGATTGTCAAAACCGCCATCAACTTGCTTGTAAGCAACCTTCAGAGGAGGTGATTTTTTTAGCCTTTGAAATTGGATATATTCGTGAAGGTAAACGCAATATTTTTGACAATATTCAGAAGGTAAACGCAGTATTTTCGAGCATTCGTTTTGTCAGACATGAAAATAGTTGTCGCATTCGATGAAATTAGTGCTGTTTTGCAGAAAAAAAGTCAAAAAATAACATTTCACCGACTTCATTAACATTTCCTGGAATTATTTTGCAGCTCGATAGCTGAGAAACGTTTGGTTCTGCCAGCCGGCTGGCATAGTGCTATGGCGCAGGGGCATGCTTTGAGTGTGCTGGTACGTGCTTATGCTGTAACAAACGATACAAAGTATCTGAATGTGGCTAAACGTGCACTTCAGCTATTCAGAACGGTAAATTTTTCTGAAGTTTTTCCATTGCTTGCCGGTTTTTTGCATCTTAACCAATCCTGCAGTTCCTAACTTAGACACTCTTAGTTATCTTTCTAACCTTCCTTACTCTACAATTTGAATGATTTCTGAAGCTTTTTATTAAAAGTTTTTTTAAGAAATAAATAGTCTTGAAAAAAATAGAAAATTTAGCCCTTTATTTCTTTTTTTTTTTAATTTTTTTTATAAATTTTCTTGTTTATTTTTTTTTGCCTTTTTGCTTTTTTAGCATCTCTAATAAAGCCAACTTTTAAATGATTTTTTTTACTGTTCGGAGAAGAATTTTTTACATTTTTAACAACGATGAAGTAAGCAAGCTAATCCGGCCTTTCATTGTGCTCTGCATAATCAATACCTTTTAATTCCTTTTTTTATTTTTTTGATAAACTCATTTATTTCTTTTGTTCTTTTTTTTAATATCTAATAAAGTCAACCTTGAAATGATTTTTTTACTGCTTAAAAAAGACATTTTTTACATTTTTAACAACGATGAAATAAGCAAGCTAATCCGGCCTTTCATTGTGCTCTGCATAATCAGTACCTTTTAATTCCTTTTTTTATTTTTTTGATAAACTCTCATTTATTTCTTTTGTTTTTTTATCTCCAATAAAGCCAACTTTTAAAGGATTTTCTTCAAAAGAGAATTTCTTACCTTTTCGATAGCGAAGAAGTAAGCAAGTTGTTCCGGCCTTTCACTGTGCCCTGCATAATTAATACAATATTTTTTCGAATCCCATATCGAACAGATGGCAGCATATTTGTTTTCGAGTTTTGCTTTTCATTCGCGGATTTGTCAGTTCCCCACTGATTAGCAGGCTTATTCTCGAGTTTCATGTCGGACTGGTTGTAGTATATGTTTTGTAGTTGGCTGGGTTTTTTTTGTTCCGTAGATTTGTAGTAAAGTTCAGCTTGTTCGGTTCCTTGTTTTGCATAATTATTACAACATTTTTGGCTTTTCTACATGTTACAGAACCCCCTGTTTATTAAATTTACAGTCACTGTGAAACAAATTGGGTTCAGTATTCCGGGAAGTAAAATAAAGCAAATGAAAAACGCATATTTCCTGTAGTTCGATATGAGACTTGAGAATTATCCTGTTGGATTCGTGCAGAGATATGCTTATTTTTGAGGAAAAATACAGATGAATAACGACTTGGGTTTGGAGCTGGGCAGAAGTTACAAGAAACATCAAGTTATAAGAAACATAGTTTTGGTAGCAAAAGCACGATAAGAGCAGTTTTCTTGCATATTTTTTAATAAAATTTTGCTTGCTTAATTTACGGTTTCTAAGGATTCTCTGCTGAAAATCCCTGATTTTTCTAGGCGGCCGCAAAAGGAGGTGTGCTGAACGAACTATTCGGTCATGCATGGTTTGAGGAATATCCAACAACGCCGGGCACATTCGTACTCAATGGTTTCCTCTATTCGCTAATTGGCCTGTACGATATTTCACAGATTGCTCGTACTGGAGCAGCAGCAGCAACAGTACCACATGCTGTTGATTTGGCAGCCGAAGCAGCAGCGTTATTTTCAACTGGTCTCGAAAGTTTACGAATTTTTTTGCCACTTTTTGATACGGGCAGTGGGACGCTGTACGATTTAAGGCACCTGGGCCTAAAAACAGCACCAAATTTGGCTCGTTGGGATTATCACTCGGTGCATATTTATTTGCTCAAATGGCTTTATGTTATAACGGGTGACGGGCTGCTAAATGATACAGCAAATCGTTGGGTGGCCTACGCGGCCGGTCATCGTGCGAAGCATAATTGAAATGTACTATTAGTTTTACACCATTGAATACCATCCAGGACAATCGGTGTAGAGAATCCATATTAGTGATTTTATTGACTTTTCACTCATATCGTGCCCCAGCGCCCCGATCCTCGGCTGCATACCTAGACTGTTTACTCGTTTGTTTGATCGTTATGTGCTACTGGCATAGCTGCGTCCGATTAGTCTTAAAAAATATATATATATATATATATCTCTATGTATGTATGTATGTATGATGTATTTATGTATGTATGTATGTATGTGTGTATGTATGTATGTATGTATGTGTGTATGTATGTATGTATGTA